CCTCACTCAGGGCAACGAAGCGCCTCCTTTGAGGCTGGCGGGATGGATGGAACTTGGTGAATGACTCTGCTTCTATCAGGCGGATTTCTGGATCTTGGCCAGTCAAGCCCTTGGCGCCCATCTTGTCGTACGCACGCCTGCTACAGGGGCGGGGTAGAACGAACGTCCTCTCCCTGTCTTTCGCCGCTAGATATAGTACTGCCCCGAAGTCCCGGAAGCGCCTCGACCGGTATGCCAGTTCGCCTGGGCAACGGACATGGGCAAGCCATGTTCCCGGAGTCGCGCGATCATCTCCTTTTACCTCGCCTCATTGGGATGTGTCAAAGCAGGCATTTGTTGACTCGCAGCTTGTCGATCCCTTCCAGTTCCTGGCTGAACGACGAGTACACACCTAATCGAATACTCCGTGGACGGCTACCTATACGTACTGGTTTGAGGCTCCCGACGGCTCCAAGATTCAACAAGCAGCTTGGGAAAAGGCGGGCCGGCTTTGAGTTCGCCGTATCGACGAGGTTAATTTGAATCAGCTTGCCGGCATCACGGTCACATCGTGCTTTCATCATGGCCAGACTCATCCAGCATCGAGAGTCATTTTGCACCCACCACTTTCCGCGTTTTCATGAACAGAAGCATGTTCTTCTTTGACATCGACATCTCAGCCCTCTCTTTGACAGCTGCACCCTGCTCCGAATTGGCACTGCCCCCGTCAGCGCTGCATGTGTTGTCTGAAGGAAAGGAATGCTACGGGTACAGCCCCCTAGCATCACACTGCGACCTTGGAGCAAAGATCACGACGCGGAGCCCCTCTCAAGTCTCAACTCGCAGGTCTGAGCTCCGATACCACGTGTGTCCGGCATTATCCACCAACATTCTGAACAAGGATCCTCCACTTTGGCCAACTTCTAAATTTTGAATTTTCAGCAACGACTCGAATGCAACCTCGTTTTCTGGCCGCCCCATCATTGCTTCTTCTCGGATAATGGCACCACATGCGGCTTCCAGCATCGTCATCTACCTTGGAAGCAAACTCTGTTCCACGTCTCGCAAAGATATCGAGGTCTAGGGGCCAGTCTCACTATCAGGTGGCTCCACGGATGACAACGCTGGTCGGCTCGTCCTTCCTATCCTGCCTCCCGTCTTGTTACTCCCGTCTCAAGGATAGATGCCACTGCACCGGCACAACATCAAAGCCGTATGGCACAAGGGCGGGCCACTGCGAAGCTTAGACAAGAGCACAGTCATCCCTAAGAATCGCCAATGCATTCGTAACGTCTCGCTATTCCGACAGACTCTTCCCCTCGCTGTGCGGAGAGAGCTCCCACATCTCTCTCGCCTGGTTCAGCGCGTTAACGGCCGTAATATCCAGCCGTCACTGAGAAGTTGGCTGATAACCGCGAGAACTCGCAACGAAACTTCTTCTTCTCCTCCGGTCTGCGCAATTTCTCGCCATGACCTTCTTGCCTAAAAGTCCATCTCTACAAACGAAGTCTTCCTACCTTACGTAGCAATATGTCTCATACTCGCTATCCACCTGGCTTCGGTGCCGCCCGAAAATGTTTCCAGTCGTTAACTGAAGGGATGTGGCTTCTGAGTATGCCGGCCGACCTGCATACACAGTATACGGCGGGTTTGGCGAGAGCTCCTCCCGGCACGAGAAAACTTTTTACCATCCACAGTGCCGTAGCACATCGGATGCTTTCGTCTCTCGAATCACTTCATCTAGGCCTGCCGGTGGAATCTCAAGGCGGGGCTACAGATCCTTCCTTGCTGCAGCGGAACAGGCTTGCTCGCTTATTGCATGCTCGACACTTTTGCCTGGTACCTCTGACTTGACCTAACACCGTCCGTCCATACGCCGCTGAGCTCAAGCCCTAGTTCACTCAGCAAACGGCGTGGTTCGCGAAGAGGGACACCGGCCAGCCCCGGTGGAACCAGATAGGGACATGGCACGCCCAACCATTGCCTCCTTAAGATCTGACGACATCTTGTTGGCTAATCGATCTAATGAGATGTGATTATATCATAATCACGATGGATGGAGTTCTCTTGTGCGGGCCAGGGAGCCCATTCTGCTATTTCCGTTGGCTCTCGTCCCTTTTGCCTGTCATTGGGCAAAATGTGTAGCGAAGGCGAGAGCTTTCACTCCAACGGTCTTCGGTCTTCGGTCTACCTGTTCGCCCCTCTCGAAGCCGGCAAGCGGCGCAAATCCCGTGGGCGCTTGCCCCAATAGTCCTCGAGGCTGCGCCGTCGACCGGAGACGGGCCAGCCTCGAGAAATTTGGGGCCGTTCAGAACCTGGCAGACCGAGGCACCTGGGGTTCGACACCCTCATGAGAGCACAGCCATTGATTGTACCCAAAGCTTGCATCTACTACACCTAACTGGTGCAGCCGTGTCTAGTGTACGGAAGAGGGTGTGCAGCGTCACAATCTCTGCAGTCTGCACGCACTTGTTGAGTCGATATTCTCAAGCCCGCCGGTGCGGTACCTGGATTGGACATGAGGTTTTTTCCCCCTTGGTCTTGCGTCCCTTGCATTAGTCGTGCCCTGATGGAGGGTTGGATTTGCAGTCCATTCGCCGATGCTGAATTACCAAATGCAGAGGGGACGGAAGCGAGAGGGGAAGACACGGGTGGCCGGTGACGGGCATGACGGATACCATCCGGTGCCTGGGCTCTAGCCTTAGGGCTCCGGTAGAAGCGCGCGTGGAAGCCTCACCTTGCAGCAGTACCGCCCAATTCTTTTCTCTGTCAGTACGGTTGCATCGAGGAAGCCCACAGGAAGAAGGATCCCTCATCCAACAGCCTCTTCGCTGTGCCCACTTCACATGTGAACTGAAAAAAGTTGCATACATCCATGTCAGGGAACGAAGCCGGCTGACCGGGTGGGGGCCCGACGATTCTGAATTTCTGACGGGGGATTATGACCGAACAGAAGGCCGATGCGGAGGCTCGCCTGAGTCTTCTTTGGCCTTTGAGTTGAGCCTGCGTGAGTGGAAGACCGGTGCCTTTGGACCGGCCTGGACTCGGCCAAGAAGGAAGAAGGAGAAGAAGAAATGGAAAAGGTACTTCCATTCTTACAGTTAGACATCAGCGGTTTAGAAAAATCTGCATGCGGCGAGACTTTTCTCGAAGTTCGAAGTCATCGGTCGGCGGCAAGCCACAGACCCATCACCGCAGGCAAGCCGTCAAGCCAAGGTCGGCACTCGAATCTCAACAGAAAAAGGCAAAAAAGGGATCAGAATTTTCACTCTCCGGTCCCGACGGAATCCAAATTCGGATGATACAGTGGCGGTAGGTTACTTCTATGTTTGGGATGAAAGAGGGTAGCTAGCGAGGGGCGTGGCGTCCTTACCTGTAAGCCATCCGTTGAAGCGGCTTACAGTTCCCTCGGAACCAGGCTGTCGACACCTGGATGATGCTGATGTCGCGTGCGCCCCCTCCTCTATTCGGTAATGATGATGGTTCACGGGTCTACTTAGACTCCCAACAGTTGATGCCGGCAGATACGAGGGAAATAACGGCGAATAATTTCACAAGGTGGATGATTTACTCGTTCAATGAGATGAAAGGTCGTCTTCAACAAGACATGGATGGCCTTTAGGCGGTTCGGGTCAAACAGGCCGCCTAGACAGAAGACCACGAAGTTCCCGGCCTTCCTACCGGAAAGCTCGGTGCGCTTCTGGGCGGTTTCGCCTCTCATTCCAGGCCATCCATCGTCATGGTGCGGCGTGTGGCAAAGAATGGGGTGTTTCTTTTGGGACTCCGTCGCACGATGCCACGAGGCGTTGCGGGAGACATCGGCGCCAACAGTTGGTGTCACGATTGCGTGTGTGCACGGGCGAGTGTCCCCAAAGCGGTAGCATGGTTGGAATTCGATGTGACCGCAAATAGCTGTCAAAATCTTTAGAGGAACATTCCTGCGACGATGATTTGGATTCCAAGGATCCCCGATATTGGGATTGGTGGCGGCGATCCCTGGGAAACACTTCATGGCGCTTTTGGGGGCTGAAAAGTCAATTGAGAGAGAGGAACGAAAAGCCAATTCCCGCTTTGGAGCTATGGAAGAGTCTTTCTCTCATTTGCGTTTCTCCATTCAAAGGAAGGGCGCTGCAGCGTCAAAGTCAAATCAATAATACCTTACTCAACAGGGCCAGCAAGCCCAGAATCCGACATTGAAGCCCGGACTGGCCAATAGAAGGGGAAAGCGACAGCAGCTTGCGCGCGAAAAAGCGAATGGCCGAGTCTTGCGCGTTGGGACTCTTGTCTTCCCTATGTTTGACTTACACCGAGGCGCATGTAGAGCAGAGGATTCGATGCTAATTCCGAATAACCACCCGTACCTTACAGACTGCGCCCTCGTGGCAGCTTGGACTGGCGCGCGCGCACGCTCAATCGGGGAATTCTTTTTTATCTTTATCCTTTCGGGACCGAGGAATGCTGCGGGCTGATGCAAAGGTTCGGCGCCACCAATGTCTGAGACCCCGTGATCGCCCGTCAACCCGCGATAAGAAGAAAGCCGCAGATTACTTTCTACCTTACTACGTCTTACCAAGGAGATGCTGTGCTTTTCGCTGCGAGACATTCGAAACCCCGGAATCGATCGATATGTGATCTCGGGGTAAGGGGACGACGGCGCACTGATGGGGAATATCGAGCGATAAACTTTGGTTGCGGAGACCTCGAGCTGGGTTCACTTTTCGGTCCGGCCTAGGCAGATCGAGAGAATGTTACCAATTGGTAAGGCCCTGGTCCGGTTTGTATTGTAGCTTCACCTCAGGCCCAACCGGTGAAGGGCAAGTCGTTGGTGACGACGCAACGTCTTGTAACTGGTACCCTTCGAGATGCAGCGTCGTGGCCGTTGGCGGTAGTCCGCGGACTGGGGAAAGGATTTGCCCAACGGCATGTCAGGCACAACGCAGTGCACTGCTACTTTGCCGCTCAACAACTGTCGGGAACGAGCGTGATCCTTCGACACGATGCCACGGCTGCTGCTGGTGGTGATGTTGCCGCCGCGGCCATCACATCACATCCCGTCACTGGCCAGGTACCCTCGCTCCCCCATTGGACCACGTGTGGCCAGCAGCGATGCCACGTCCGATTTGTGCCTCGGGTGCAGCATCGCAGGACAGGGCTCTTTTGTCTTCTTTTTTAGGTTCAGGCACGAGCAGGACCCTGCGACGTGCGAGCTGAACTCTGCGCTCCTCCCCTCATGGTGAGAAGAGACGAAATAATCTCATGTCCTGCAGACGGCATCTGTTCGTTGGGATGACCGTTCGTCTCTCCTCCGTGGGGGGGAAAGGACGGGATGGAGGGGGTGTGGACGTTGGTGTTGGGTGTTCACCACGGTTGATGCGGGTGGGATGCGCTCAGTCAGAGTGGTTGGTGCCGCGGTTCGCGGAGGTGGGATTCCGGGGAAAGACGGGCTGGTTTCAGAGCCGGGAAACTTTTTTGCGCTTTGCTTTTACAGAGTCGAGAACTTCCAACCGCGACGCGGGCGACGACGCGTATGGTGTGGTGAGCTTACACACTTTGTGTGTGTTTTCATGGTTCTTTGGGTTGTCACTAATATTTTACACGAGATTTTGCGACGGTCTAGCTTTTTTGGTTCCTTTCGCGCGACGACGCGTACAAACTTCTACCGAGGCATGGTTGGCTGCGACTACTCGACTGGATGTGGGACAACCTCAATGCGCGCGAATCATCAAGGGGGATGGATTGGAGGAATTTACCCCCGAGGCAGAAGGCATACATCAAGGCCTGGTTGCTATTTAGCTTCTGGATGTCCAAGCATGTTGTGGCGTCGCGTCATTCGCCCGGCCAACGGGAGGCAAACCACGGGATGGGACGGGGCGCGCAATCGGTGACGAGATGTTGATTGACGGGCAGTGTAGTGTGCCTCGGGACGAGCGGGAAGGGCAGAGATGGCGGGCGTTTGATGGGTCAAGCTTGATCGGTGAGCGACTGGGCCTTGGTGAGTCCTGAAGGCTCGGACTCTTTGTCTTTTGAGAGTGGCATTGACACGATCATTGCTCTTGGGATAATTATCCCGCGACAAGATGAGGCTTGGTTCCGGAGAGCGAAGGAGGAGCGATGCCAGATTCTGCAATAGACGCGACGGGGAGATAGGTTCGGCATGCTACGCTGCGACAGACCCGGCGGATGCGGACGGCGGGTGTGGATTGCGGGACGGACGGTAGTCCTGCGGTGGTGGGGTCGCGCGGTCCATGTGGTTGCAGGAGGAAGGATTTGCGGTCCCGGCGGTGCGGGCGCGGCATCGCTCTTTTGTGGTTATGAGTGAGTCTATCCGTTGCAACATAATTATCCCACAGAAGGGGAGGAGGAGGAGGAGGAGGAGGAAGAAGAAGGAGGAAGAGGTCTATGCTGAGTTGTTTGCTCAAGCGCAAGCGCGACATCGGAGGCGACATGTCGATTCGCGCGGCACATGCACGGAATGCTGCGAGACACTAGGCAGAAGGGCACAAGCCTCGAGGCAGCAACAGAGGATGAGGTCTGGACCTGGCCGAGCGCGGGTGTCTCTTCCCTTCTCGCTCTTCGTGCTGGAGGGTGTTTTGACTACCCTTTGTTGGTCCCTTTATTATTCCCGTTTGGTGCCCACGGTTCCTTACCTCAGCTGGGCTGCTGGTTGAAAGACTGATAAGGGTTCTCTCCGCGGGTAGAGCTTTGAGGGTCGAGGATTGAGGGTTCGAGAGGATCTATGCGCCTGTCTGTCGCTGTCTGAGCATGAGCGTGAGCAGTATTTTGCCCCCCCCCCCCCCCCTCGTCTGAGGGTTTGGCAGGCCTAACGGGGAGAGATTCCGCGGATGCCGGGTCCGAAGGTAGGTTGAGCTGTGGCATCTTTGAAGGTGAGAGAGGGATAGGATATGTGAGGGTTTGGAGGTTCTTTGGGACCGAGACGCTTTGCTCGGATGGGATGTAATGTAGGAGGCTTTTCCGGGCGTCCTTTCGCTTTTGCATGAATTCCTCGGTCTTTTGCTCGTTGTTGTTGATTTGGGGGCATGGTCTGGTATACGCCTGAGAGCTGCGACTGACGGCGTTGCGAGGGAGGTATTGTTGATTTGGATATGATGCTCTTGGGCGACGGAGGCGCAAACAGGACGAGGCGTCTCTGTCTATCTCACGTCACTGGGGACATTGAGTATGGTTCGCACTGGGACGAATTGCGAAACGTAAGGCAAGGCTGCATGGTCCGCCTTCGGCATTCGCGAGGCGGACTGTTCTAGGTAGACGTTTTATGGACTTGAGGAGCTAGCTAGCAAGCCCAGATAATTCGAGGCAAGGTAAGGTGAGGTTAGGTGAGGTGAAAGATTGGCAGCAGAGGGCGACTTGAGTCTGGTGGCTTTTCCGGATCGTAGGCAGCAGCGCCGAAAGCGGGGTCGTTTGGCCCCCCCACCAAGTATCGTCTCAACGTCTTCGTGAATCGCTTCGTGAACAATGGTGAAGTCGAGCTTTTGAAACTTGGGATTTCGTTTATGACTCATCCTACGGCACAGCAAAGCCGATAAACGTGAGAGTTTGAGGACGACGTCTATAAGGCAACTCGCCGCATCTCCCGTCAGCGCTTTGGAATCTCGACCGTCCACCTTACGAATTCACATAACCATGGCGCCCCGGAAACGGCCCAAAACATGCCAACACACATCCATCGTCGTCGACGCCTCAGCCTACGGCCGCCACAGGGCAGGGTTCCTCCGCGTACCCGTTGAGAAACGTGTCGCGGCGACGACGAGGTCTGGGAGGGTTATCCCGGTTGCCGACGCCGATGCTGGTACCTCCAATCCCGACCCCAACTCCAACCCCGGCCGCAGCGCCGGCTCCGGCTCCGGATCTGACGGCCCCGCACCACCTGACCCCTCCACTTTTCCCGGCCCGCTCGTCCTCCCCGACGACGACCTCGCGCTGGAACCGCGGTATCCGCCGCAGAGTTTGAGGGCGTGGGCTTCCGGGGAGTGGAGGAATCGGATTACGGGGGGGAGGAAGACTTTGTATGTTGCTGATTTTCCGGGTGTCGAGGGGGATGTTGGGTTCATGAGGGAGTGGGAGGTTCCTGTTTTAGAGGGCGTTGCGACGGATAGTTTGGGGCAGCCGAAGGTGGAGGATGTGGTCTCGTATTTTGAGGCGTTTTACCATCCTCTTCCGGTGAGGGTTCTTCCTACTGCGTTTAGGTTTGTCAAGTGGGATGAGGAGGGCGTTCCTCGGGGGAAGGCGAAGGAGAAGAAGGCCTTCATGATTGGTCTCGCAACAGGATCTTCCGTCGTCGGAATCAGATGTCGCCCGTCACCCGACGACTTCGCCAAATACCAACTCAACCTCAACGACCTCCTCGACGTCCTCTCAGGGGTTCTCCCGGGCGACGCGTATGCCGCGTGTATGCTTATCGCGCAGGATCTATACGAAGACGAAGATGATGATTTCTGTTGTGGGCGGGCGTTTGGAGGGAGTAGGATTTGTACTGTCAGTTCGTTTCGGTATCGGCCGGCGATGGATGGGGTTATGGGGGTTGAGAGGGGGCATGGGTGGCCTGCGAGCCATTGTGGGCGGTTTGTGATGGAGGCGCGTGAGTGGTGGGAGGAGCAGGAGGAGATGGAGATGGTGAGAGAGGGGGAAGGTGGGATGGAGGTGGATGGGAGGGGGAGTAAAGGGAAGGGCAAGGGGAAGAAGGATGGTGGTGGTGAGGAGGTTCTTGTTGATTTGAGGAAGGTGAAGGGGACGGCTATGGGCGCTGCTATCTCCGCGTCGAGGAACGTTCTTGTTCCGAGGGAGGTGTCGCGGAATAAGAAGCTGGTGGAGGAGGATCTGTACGGTATGTGGTTTTCACGTGTTGCGAGGACAGCGGTTCATGAGGTTGGTCACTGTCTTGGGATGGATCATTGTGTGTACTACGCTTGCGTCATGCAGGGTACGGGAGGGTTAGGTGAGGATTCGAGACAGCCGCCGTACTTTTGTCCTGTTTGTGAGGCTAAGTTCATATGGGGTTTGGGGGAGATGGGTGTTGTTGAGGGGGGAAGGGGCGGGAGGTGGATGGAGGGGAGGATGAGGGAGGTTGAGAAGGAGAGGATGGAGGTTATGAGGGCATTTTGTGAGAGGTGGAAAGGGGTTGGGATGTTTGCTGGATTTGGTGGGTGGTTGGAGGCTCGGTTGAAGATGGAGTTTGGGGAGAGGGATGAGGCGGAGGTATCAACACGTGTCTCGAAGGAAGTACGGGAGGTTGAGGTTATCGTGATTGATTCGGATTAGGGGCGACGGAAGGTCAGTGAAGGGGTGTGACTGTAGTAGAGATGAATTCTATCAAACGTCACAGCTGTGAGATAAAATGTCCCATGCTACCAGATGGCATTGATACATATATATATACCTCTTTAAGTAGTATAGCTATCCCACCCTTTTTCACCCCATATTCGTCCACAAATAATCAGACATAAATAAAAGTTGGAGAAAGACTAGAGACGGATGTGATGACAACTCTAGCAGTTGATAAGATACTTAGGACAGTACCAACGACGGGGTAGCTTATAGGTAGCACGAGAGAAGAGGCAATGTCGTCTCGCTGTTGGTCGCCTGGGAAGTATGCCTCACTTTCAGAATGGAAGCTGCGATTGGTCAGATTCACACCGAGAATAGCAACTTGCAGCAACTTCGCCGCTTCAGCTCTTGCCATCATTGGCCCGTTCAAGACGTATCCTGCAGGCAGAATCGTCGGACAGTGAGCCTGCTTCAAGACGACTTTCTTGTTATTTCCCTCCCAGTCACGCTTCTACCAAATACCCCTCACTTTCGATCGCTTCACCTACTTTCTCGACAACGCTTGGTCCGGCAACGAGGCATCTCAACACGCCTGACGAATGTGCCCTTCGAGGCCCTGGAAGCAATTGCACTCTTACGCAACTTGGCAGCACTTTCCTTCCTTCTTACTTGTTGCCTTTGCGACCCTGACGCTACGGAAACATGACCCCACTCGAGATCATCGGCCTCGTCAGTGCCATCATCACATTCATCGACTTCGCGGCCGAGAATGTCACGGTGGCACGGGAGATTGGGCGGACCGGGTCCGCGACGTTCAAAGACAATGCTGATCTGGAGCGTCGGGTTAAGCTCGTCGAGGAGCACGTCGCGGGACTCATCCCGAAGGGTATTGGTGCGCCAAGGGATACAAATGAGGCCCAGCTGCTGGATCTTGTTGAGGAGTACAAGAACCACACAGTTCAGCTGATGACCCTCCTGGCTGGGCTCAAGTCAACCAAAAAGCGCCACATTCTATCCAAGATGGTCAAGGACTTTCGGAAGAAGAATGAAAAGGAGACACTCCAGAAGGAGTTGGATGATTGCAGATCCAGGATCCATTTGCAACTCACTCAAATAACGAGGTAAGAAGATTGGATCAGACAACAAGGAAATAGACGCGTGCACCTACTAATGATTCTTCATTTGCTTAGAGCGGGATTGAGTCGCCGCCTCGATGAGATTTCGGCCCAAGGACACATCAACGCGACTGAAATGCAGCATTTGGGCAAAAATATCGAGGGCCTGCAGTCCAACATCGAGCTATGGAAACATGTTCCGGGTTTGGTGGAAAGTGTCCACGATATCCTGTCCCGCTCGAAGGAGGCTGTCGAAAGCAATGCCCAGCGCTTGATTTTGGAGAAGCTCTACGTCGGCGACATGACGAGGAGGTTCGATGAGATTGAACGCGCTCATGAAAAGACATTCTCCTGGCTTTTGGACTCGTGCACACCGTCCAAAAGCGATTTCGATTCGAGCGATGGGTCCGAGTCCAGCTATAGCGATGGCTTAGGCCATGTGTCTCGAGGAGACAATGAGTCGCCCAACGAAGGCGGCCAGAACTCCGATCAATCCGAGGTACCGGGTTCTGGTGCAACATCAGACGCCTCTTCCTACGAGAAATCCAATTATCAGTCACACGTGTCCTTGAAAAGAACTGCTCAAGAGCTTCGAGCACAAGAAAGTCTAACAGACTGGTTAGGTCGTGGAGGAGGCATCTTCCATATCTCTGGCAAACCTGGTGCAGGAAAATCGACACTTATGAAGTACCTCTGCCAAAGTACAGCTACGGAATCCTATCTCAAAGACTGGGCTGGAGAAAAGACGCTGGTTTTGGCAAACTTTTTCTTCTGGAAGCTTGGGTCCACAGCTCAAAAGTCATTAGATGGACTACTTCGGGCGCTTTCATACTCTATTCTGGAGCAAGCCCCCGCCCTGCTCGAGACCGTGTTTCCAAAGCAATGGAGTAAAGCTTCTCAAGGTAAAGCGTTTTCAATCCAGAGCTCCGAGATTGAGTCTGCCTTCTCTCATCTTTTGCAACACACGGCGTTCTTTTTCTCACACAAGATTGCAATCTTCATCGACGGCCTAGATGAATTTGACGGAGACCATGACAAGATGATAAAGATGCTTCGAAATTGGTCTAGGAGTGTCTCAGAAGATATGAAGCTGTGCGTTTCAAGCCGTGAATGGGAGGTCTTTCGACAGAGGCTAGTCAACTGCCCTGGTATTCGCCTGCAAGACATCACGAGCCGAGACATCGAAGCGTACATTGACAGCGAATTATCCGGCAATGAAGAATTCAGATCACGTTCTTCGGAGAACCCAAGAGTTGAGTTTCTTGTAGATCAGATCAAGAACAAAGCCGAAGGCGTGTTTCTCTGGGTAAAGATCATATTGAGAGGTCTTAAAGAGAGTCTTCTTTCCGGAGAACGACTGGAAGATCTCGAGGCAAGACTCGAGGCTTTACCTGCAGGCCTTGAAGAACTCTTTGCGTCAATTCTGGCATCCATAAGAACCGGGACTCACACCAACAAAATGGATAGAATGAGGGCGATGCGAACGATTCTCCTCGCGGCGGAGAAGGAGAGAGACTATACGAGACGACAAAACCCACCCCTGAGTCTAACAGAACTTGCATTCCTAGACGATTATGAGAAGGATCCCAACTTCGTTTT